TCTTTACGTTGACCAAGACACCCCGACAGACTGTAAAAACCATCACCGCGAGAACGATCACTGAATATTTCAACATAGCCATGCTGACTGATCACACTTCTGTTTAACAATGAAATGACTTGTTGGCGACCTGAAGACAGTTTTTATACTCAAAAACCCAGCCTGTTTAATTACGTCCCAAATCAGGTTTTGGTCACGAAAACTATGTCTTATTTTGGGTTGTCAACCGTCGCTGACCGAAGCCATTGCTCATTGGCTGTCAGACGAATAAAAATGGTTCACGTGACAAGATTAGCAAGAAGATCCTCTTCGTGACCCTGTCAGAGTTAACGACACATCCACTTGTGGTGACGCACACAAGGCAAGTTTACGCACTGTCATCTTTATGTTCGGGCGAGGTTTGTTGTTGAAGGAAGCGGAAAAATGGTGTCACTGTTAACAAATTACGGACACAAGTTGCCCACTATATATAAAAATGTGTGTGTGTGTGTGTGTGTGCGTGCGTGCATGCGTGCGTGCGTGCATGTTTGTGTGTGTGCATGAACATGTTTATTGAGCACTGTTATGTACATTTGTTGCCGAAAGCTTACGTGCTGGAATCCATTCCTCACACACACATATACATCACCCCCACCCCCCAACTGGTAATCTGGTAATCTTAGTTTCAGCTTCATAGCAAACGCGTCACCCCATGGTTGCTCCGCTCCTGTGCCAACGAAAAACACACAGAATGTTTATCACAGTCCCTTGTGGAAAGATTGACGGACTGCTGCCTCAGCATATCTTGCATACACATGCAATAAAAACTTACGGTAGCCATCTGGAGTGCTAACACAAACAGTCCGACGCTAGAAATGGATGGTAGCAGAGTCACCAACAGATTAGCAGTTGCGCACGCAATTAATTTAATCACATAATGGCACGACCAATATTGCTACAACATGCATCGCGCCATTTTCCGAATCTACAGTTCCCACTACTACGTTGGTCACAGTTGAAAAACATTCTAAATGAAATCCGTAGCTCACAGTGTCAAGTCATGCACTCAACTCAGAAGCTGGGCGACGAAACTATATTCTTCCAGTCTACAAATGGAGCAAAAGTACATACCATACAGAAAGAGAGAGAGAGAGAGAGAGAGAGAGAGAGAGAGAGAGAGAGGGAGATACACAGAGAGAGAGAAAGGAAGACACAGAGAGACAAAGGGAGACAGAGAGAGAAAGGGAGACAGAGAGAGAGAGAAAGAGAGACACAGAGAGAGAAAGGGAGACAGAGAGAAAAGAAGACAGAGAGAGAGAGATAAAGGGAGACAGAGAGAGAGAGAGAGAGAGAGAGAGAGAGAGAAAGGGAGACAGAGAGAAAGAAATGGGGACCAGAGAGAGAGAAAGGGAGACAGAGAGAGAAAGGGAGACAGAGAGAGAGAAAGGGAGACAGGGAGAGAGAGAGAAAGGGAGACACAGAGAGAGAGAAAGGGAGACAGAAAGAGAGAAAGGGAGACACACAGAGAGAGAGAGAGAGAGAGAGAGAGAGAGAGAGAGAGAGAGAGAGAGAGAGAGAGAAAGGGTGAGAAAAAGAGAGACAGAGAGAGAGAGAGAAAGGGAGACAAACAAACGAACGAACGAACGAACAAACTTTATTTTTAAAGGGTTAAGAATTGGGCACGAAGGCCCGTCTAACATTCTGCCCTTCGAGGTCTCCCTCCATTCTTACATCATTTCATTCACACATGAAGTAATATTAAAAGTTAGCAATAGCATTTTTAAAAAAATGAATACAAGAACTGGAATGTGCACATTTCTAACTACAGTAAAACGTATTAGTTTTAACAAATCTAAGGAAAACGCTATTTTTCACATATGTTTCATCTTCTATCGGGGTATATAATCGGTGCTCAGATAGTATTCGAACAGAGAGAGAGAGAGAGAGAGAGAGAGAGAGAGAGAGAGAGAGAGAGAGAGAGAGAGAGAGAGAGAGAGAGAAAGGGAGACAGAAAGAGAGAGATGCTGCGAACACTTACCTCTCTCATTTTCACACACTAAACAAAATTACTTTACGTTGCTGGACTTTTGCGGAACATCGCTCTTATCACAGTATGTCGACAAGTCAGTTTTCTTGCAGCTTCTCCATTTCGTGCAGACAAACAAAAACAATTCCAACGCTGTACAGACTAGGTAGGCGGATAATGGCGAGTCTCTAAAGCTAACATGATTGCTTACCTGGGAGTAAAGCCTGATGACGTACACCTTTACCATCTTTGTCAAGATAATTTATAACAAATTTTTCATGAGAGCAAAGAGGCGCCTTCTAATGATTCTTAACGCAAAATGTCAGGAGAGCAAAGAGGTGTTTTCTAATAATCCTTAATGCTCAATGTCAGGAGAGCAAAGAGGTGTTTTCTAATAATCCTTAATACCCAATGTCAGGAGAGCAAAGAGGTGACTTCTAATAATCCTTAATACCCAATGTCAGGAGAGCAAAGAGGTGACTTCTAATAATCCTTAATACCCAATGTCAGGAGAGCAAAGAGGTGACTTCTAATAATCCTTAATACCCAATGTCAGGAGAGCAAAGAGGTGACTTCTAATAATCCTTAATGCCCAATGTCATGAGAGCAAAGAGGTGACTTCTAATAATCCTTAATGCCCAATGTCATGAGAGCAAAGAGGTGTTTTCTAATAATCCTTAATGCTCAATGTCAGGAGAGCAAAGAGGTGACTTCTAATAATCCTTAATGCCCAATGTCATGAGAGCAAAGAGGTGTTTTCTAATAATCCTTAATGCTCAATGTCAGGAGAGCAAAGAGGTGACTTCTAATAATCCTTAATGCCCAATGTCAGGAGAGCAAAGAGGTGTTTTCTAATAATCCTTAATGCTCAATGTCAGGAGAGCAAAGAGGTGACTTCTAATAATCCTTAATACCCAATGTCAGGAGAGCAAAGAGGTGACTTCTAATAATCCTTAATACCCAATGTCAGGAGAGCAAAGAGGTGACTTCTAATAATCCTTAATGCCCAATGTCAGGAGAGCAAAGAGGTGTCTTCTAATAATCCTTAATGCCCAATGTCATGAGAGCAAAGAGGTGACTTATAATAATCCTTAATACCCAATGTCATGAGAGCAAAGAGGTGACTTCTAATAATCCTTAATACCCAATGTCAGGAGAGCAAAGAGGTGACTTCTAATAATCATTAATACCCAATGTCAGAAGAGCAAAGAGGTGACTTCTAATAATCCTTAATACCCAATGTCAGGAGAGCAAAGAGCTGACTTCTAATAATCCTTAATGCCCAATGTCAGGAGAGCAAAGAGGTGACTTCTAATAATCCTTAATACCCAATGTCAGGAGAGCAAGGAGGTGACTTCTAATAATCCTTAATGCCCAATGTCAGAAGAGCAAAGAGGTGACTTCTAATAATCCTTAATACCCAATGTCAGAAGAGCAAAGAGGTGACTTCTAATAATCCTTAATGCCCAATGTCAGGAGAGCAAAGAGGTGACTTCTAATAATCCTTAATACCCAATGTCAGGAGAGCAAAGAGGTGACTTCTAATAATCCTTAATACCCAATGTCAGGAGAGCAAAGAGGTGACTTCTAATAATCCTTAATGCCCAATGTCATGAGAGCAAAGAGGTGACTTCTAATAATCCTTAATGCCCAATGTCAGGAGAGCAAAGAGCTGACTTCTAATAATCCTTAATACCCAATGTCAGAAGAGCAAAGAGGTGACTTCTAATAATAATTAATGCCCAATGTCAGGAGAGCAAAGAGGTGACTTCTAATAATCCTTAATACCCAATGTCAGGAGAGCAAAGAGGTGACTTCTAATAATCCTTAATACCCAATGTCAGGAGAGCAAAGAGGTGACTTCTAATAATCCTTAATGCCCAATGTCATGAGAGCAAAGAGGTGACTTCTAATAATCCTTAATGCCCAATGTCAGGAGAGCAAAGAGCTGACTTCTAATAATCCTTAATACCCAATGTCAGGAGAGCAAAGAGGTGTCTTCTAATAATCCTTAATGCCCAATGTCATGAGAGCAAAGAGGTGACTTATAATAATCCTTAATACCCAATGTCAGGAGAGCAAAGAGGTGACTTCTAATAATCCTTAATACCCAATGTCAGGAGAGCAAAGAGGTGACTTCTAATAATCATTAATACCCAATGTCAGAAGAGCAAAGAGGTGACTTCTAATAATCCTTAATACCCAATGTCAGGAGAGCAAAGAGCTGACTTCTAATAATCCTTAATGCCCAATGTCAGGAGAGCAAAGAGGTGACTTCTAATAATCCTTAATACCCAATGTCAGGAGAGCAAGGAGGTGACTTCTAATAATCCTTAATGCCCAATGTCAGAAGAGCAAAGAGGTGACTTCTAATAATCCTTAATACCCAATGTCAGAAGAGCAAAGAGGTGACTTCTAATAATCCTTAATACCCAATGTCAGAAGAGCAAAGAGGTGACTTCTAATAATCCTTAATACCCAATGTCAGGAGAGCAAAGAGGTGACTTCTAATAATCCTTAATGCCCAATGTCAGGAGAGCAAAGAGGTGACTTCTAATAATCCTTAATGCCCAATGTCAGTAGAGCAAAGAGGTGACTTCTAATAATCCTTAATACCCAATGTCAGGAGAGCAAAGAGGTGACTTCTAATAATCCTTAATACCCAATGTCAGAAGAGCAAAGAGGTGACTTCTAATAATCCTTAATACCCAATGTCAGGAGAGCAAAGAGGTGACTTCTAATAATCCTTAATACCCAATGTCAGGAGAGCAAAGAGGTGACTTCTAATAATCCTTAATAGCCAATGTCAGGAGAGCAAAGAGCTGACTTCTAATAATCTTTAATGCCCAATGTCAGGAGAGCAAAGAGGTGACTTCTAATAATCCTTAATGCTTAATGTCAGGAGAGCAAAGAGGTGACTTCTAATAATCCTTAATGCTCAATGTCAGGAGAGCAAAGAGGTGACTTCTAATAATCCTTAATGCTCAATGTCAGGAGAGCAAAGAGGTGACTTCTAATAATCCTTAATGCTCAATGTCAGGAGAGCAAAGAGGTGACTTCTAATAATCCTTAATGCC